GGTAATGCTGAAACTGCAAAGTTTCTTCCTCTTCTGTCCCTTCCACCTCATCCGAATTGGAGAAACCGATCTGAGCAGACTGTGATGTCCAAGAGTTAGGCATCCTCTCTATAATATACACAAATGGGAGCAGGGTTTATTACCCCTGATAACCAATCTGGGGTATTATAATCCGGTTTATGTAAGAATAGCCCTTAATTTGGATTTGTTTGCACTGTTTTCCCTTTCCCATCCTGACAAGGCAAATCTGCAAGGGATGTGGCTGCAGAGTGAAATGAGGGTTCATTGTTAAACAATGGGATGTACTTTTAGAAGGTACAATGGCCCCCAGTTTAGGTGACTTTAAAGGGGGGTTAGGCTAATTCATGGAGGTGGCAGCGGTGGCGGCAGTGGCGGCAGCTCCTCCTCCTCTTCATGGGGACTACAGACTGGCCACAGACTCCTTCCAGGATCAGAGCTGGCACGTCTGCTTGAGGAACAGTGGGAAAAGCCCACCTCCCTAATGTCTTCCCACTGGTGCTTGGCTGTCCACCTTGGGAAAGAGCCCTTGACCAGGGTCTGGTCGAAGGGATCTTCCTGAATGCTTAGAACTTTTCCACAAGACCCAGTTTCGTGTAGCTGTGACCTCAAAGACAGAGAAGAAAAAGCATAATCTCAGATGTGACCCTCACTTGTATCAATGCAAGCCTGATAATCCCCGCCTAGAATGGATATAGGCCTGATCTTTGAGACCAATGTGCTGAAGTCATCGTGATGTCACTTCCCCCATGACAGTCACAAAATACCCATTGCTTTGAATATTGCTGCCGGGGGCAAGGAACAAGATGGCTCCCATAGAGGCTGACTGAGCTACCAGATGGCCTCAGCTCAGCACTAGGACAAGCAGCATCCCAGACCACGTCTGAGGGAAGTTGTTCAGCTTAGGAGCACTGTGCACCACATGTGGCATACAGAGCTTTGCACTCAAAGCACCTCCTTGCCCCTCAGCACCTGAGACATCTCGCTCACTCCGCCCAACGGAGCAGCAGTCCGGCCTCTTGAATTTGCCTCTATGGGGTGCAATCTAGTTTTTCAATCTTGAGCGGTGCCCAGAATAATTGTAAAATCCTGTTCTTGGACCCTGGATAAAAAGCCCTGAGGCTTTAGCAGTGAGTGGCTCAAATGTGTCTGCCCAAGGGCTTTGCCAGGATACGGCTGGAGTGGGGCAGGTATGTGCTACAGCTGTTGAGAGGCCACAGCTGTCTTTTACGGGCCTGTATCTTTTACAATTCTTTAAGGAGGGCATTAGCTTGGGAATGCAGTCGTGTCTCCTTTCAGCAGGCCAGTCTCCAGCTCCCCACCCCTGAGTCGTTTTCTCTCGAGCCACTCAAATGCCAGCCTAAGAAAGCCTTGCTGCTCACTCCAGTGGCAAGAGACAAACTGCTTTTAAGGCTCCCAGCCCACATTTTTCAAGGGAGCAACAGGGTGACCAGCTGTTACATGGGAGCCAGGAGCGTGGGGGAGGGAAGGGGGAGAATCGGTTCTGAACCTCTCTCGTACTTACACTGGTGCTGTGGGAGAGAAAGAAGACAACCAGCTCTGACTAGATGAGCTTTAATCAAGCAGGGTGGGTGGCATTGTCAGAACAATGACAAAAGACAGTTAGCAGCTCCTGTTAAGAGTCAACGTGCCAACCAAGCATGGTCTCTTTGTCACTTAGACCCATCATAAAAACAAGTACGATAAAAGCGCAACTGAAAACCCAACAACGAAAAAATCAGGAGTACCCAGCTAGTAGGCATAGCTCCACTTCAGCCACAGACCACTGATGTGCCAAAGGCCTGCTTGAAGAAGATCTCTGCCTACTGGCAGAAAGGCAAATGAGGAGAAGCCAGCCTAGTCTCTCTCAACAGGGATTTCCAGTGGCTGGGAGCACCCGCGAAGAAGACCCTCCCTCAAAGGGTCCACCATCCACCAAAAGTGGCAGTGATGGTGGTGGGTCCAGTGAAAAGCCTCACCAGCAGGTCTTACAACGTAAGCAGGTATTTAGAGAAGAATACACCTGGATGCACCATTCCATTCTATCCACCTCCATCCTGTTTGCCCTTCCCTCCAATAGTAAGCATTCTGTCTTCATTCTGTCACTACAATTTTTTTTTGCATACTTCTGCATACTTCTGCCTGCGTGGCTGGTCAGTGCCGTTTCACTGAGACTCCAATACTCAGATAACTGGCATATAGTAGAAGTGGGGGATTTGAGGAACTGAGTGCAAATCCCCAAGATGGCCCTTAAATTCTCATTCTAAAGAGAGACAGAGTTTGATAGCCTCCTCTCAGAAAACTCAACTCATTTTCTCCTTTCAAAAGGGAGGCCGTGCACCATGCACCTTTCCTCAGCCCCTAGAGGGCCAGGGAAACGTGCAGAAGTAGATTCCTCATGAAGGGGGATGGAATGAAAATTTGAGGGTCCTGTTTAGAATAGGAGGGGGTAAATCCCCCCCATTCCCTTCCCACCCAAATATTGGGTTTCTCTTAACCAATCCCCTTTTTTGAATTGAATGCTGCTGCTGGTGGTGGTAGGGAGGTTTGCAAGCTTACCCTGAGCACTTGCAAAGTGTAGCAAAGGCACCTGCTCCCCTTAGTGTTTCAGCAAACGTGGTGTGTTCACACAAATGGGAGTGAAAATAACATACATTCTTGCGTGTGCACATTTCTGGGTGCAGGGCAACTAGGACGATGCTGGGCAGCTTCTGATAGCCCTCCAAGGTGCCAGTGTGGCACTCAGAGGGGGAACCTGGTGGATGTTCAAATGCTGGACGTTGCCAGATTTCCTAAACACCATTAAGGGGAGAAACAGTAGTGGCAAACCAAAGTGGCACAACTTCACAGCAGGTAGGAGAAGGGGACCTGCTCCTCCCACAGCGTCCTGCAGGGAGAGCGAAGGGGGAAGAAGGGAGAGGGAAGGTGTGACGCACCCATGACGAGCCCCATTGTCTGTTGGGCTCACTGCAGTTTCTTTGCGGAAGAGCCAGCCCATCATGACAACTCACCCCAGTAGGTGGTCATGGCATGCAAACCAGCCCCCGTTTAGAGGCTGCAACATCCAGCGCTGCTCCTACTTTCCACCCGTGTTCTGTGAACCAGAGCGAAAGGTAGGTGGACAAGCGGGTCACAAGGGCAATGAGCAGGGCCTGCTCCAGGGGGCTCCGGTCAGTGGGCATTTGTGGGGATGAGGTCTTGGCAGGCACCTGACAGGATTTAGTGTGAGTGCCAGCTCTGGCTCAGAAGCAGGGTGGCAGTTGACTATCTGGGGGAAAACATGAATACTCATCGGGGGAGCAACATGGTACCCTCCAGATGTTTTGGACTACAGCCCCCAAATCCCTGATCACTGGTTCCACTGGCAGTGGTTTACAGGAGCTGTCCCCAAAGGAATTCTAAGAGATTAAATTCCCTATCCCTTCCGTAGTCTCTCCCGAGCAGCTCTTTTCTCTTTTGCCCTATTTTAAATGCACTGTAAACTCTGTAGATGTACAGGGAGCGAATGAGGAGTATAAATGTGCAAAAGAAGGAGGAGGAGGAGGGAGGGTGAAAAAGAGTAAAAACCACTCTGTTCACTTGCATTCCTACCGCCTCTCTCCCAAACAACACCTACCACCCTCTGTGGTTAAAGCAGCAATGCTTCTTGCATCACCCACCTGGGAAAAATATCAGTGGAAACAATTATATGCTGTCTTACCCTCTTATGTAAGTTATTTATGCACAAATATTAGCAAAGAACAGCAAAAGTGAATGGCATTCCTCTTCCTAAACACATTCATTGAAATGTCCTCAAAAATCCTACCCAGGAAGCTACCTATATAAGTGGATAGTCAACATGTGGCTCATGTTCCCTTTTCAACCAAGACAAAATCCCCTGGACTGTCATGTATTTATTTATTAGAACATTTCTATGCCGCCTCTTGCCGAAGCCTCGGGGCATGAACCCCTCTAGGCAAGTGCCTTTCTGACATTCAGAGAGTGCACCCTAATTCCTCCCACGAAACTCCCCACAAGCCTGAAGATCCCTGCAAACATATTTTTTGCAGGGTGGAAGACATTTTGCTTGTGGGCCAGACGCTGTGACGACTGCTCCCCCGTCAGCCTGGAACTTCCTCTTTCTTCTCTCAGCCTCCCCTGTTGCCCCAATTCTGCCTCCCAACAAATCTGCCAGCAGAGCAACCAACTTCGGTGTTTCTTCCCCAGCAGCACAGAGCGTTTCTGTGCTCGGTGCTGCAGAAGAGAGTCCCTTTCTCCGCACCCAGCATGGAAAGGCTAAGGGAGGTGGGATTGCTCTGAGCGGCAGTGAGTGTGAATGCGTGTGTGCATCAGGGTGGGTGAATAAGTGTGGCTGGGGGCAGGCTGCATTGGCCCTCACTCCATTTCTGCGTCTGATATAAAGTGCTAGTTTTAATGTTTGATGCCCTAAGTGGCTTGGGACCAGATTGTCTAAAAATGTATTCGCTGATAGATACTTTCCCGGTCTTTGAGATTGTCCTTGGAGGCCCCGCTCCAAATGCTTCTGTGAAATGAGGCAGGCAAAAATGAGGAAGAAGGTCTTTTCTGTAATAGGTCCTTACTTATGGACCAACCTTCTCAGGGAATTTCTCTTGGCACCTTCTTTGTGGTAATCGTGGTGCCAAGTGCAGGCCTTTTTAATCACTCCAGCCTTTTCAGATGAGGCCCCACCATTTAAAATGTATGTCTTAATTGTGCTTAAATTTCAATAGCTGTTACTTTTCCATGCCCTATTTCAAAGCTGCATTTGCTTTTGAACCACTTAGAAAACATGCAATATGGAACAGTTATAGAAATAATGAAACAAACAATTTGTACACAGATCATCATATGTAGAAGCACACACAATAACTTTTCTGCTTTTCCTCTCCTTTTTTGCTCTTGCTGCACTCTAAAGCACAAGCTGAACACTTTCTGTGAAATGGTGAAAAGGGGTCTGGACAGGAGTTCTCCAGCACACTCACCTGTTGGCTTTCTTGATAAGGGGGAGGGGGTACGGTCTGTGTGGCCATCATTGTCAGAGCTGGCGCTGGGGAGACATGTTGCATCATGGGATTGATTCACATCTAGAACCTGTTGGCAGGAGAAAGTTCAGCTTAGAGGAAGGAACTGAAATGATGAAAAAGCATCCCTTCAAATCACACACATGTACATGCATATGCAGGTGTGGCCCATGATGCTTTGTGGCCTGATCGGAAGGGCAAGATGGCCGTCACTGTCCCATTCTATGTAGAAAAGCAGCTTGGGCTGGTGGATGAATCTGTCTTCAGCTTGGATGATGGGACAGCCTGCGGTACTGCATCCAAAGGGAGCAGGCTAGCTTAAGGGGCAGGGCGCTGGCTGCATGGGAAACACAGCACTTCGCAACCCCTTGTTGCCTCCGCCCAGAATGTGTTGCCTGAAGTGGCTGCTTCACTCTACGTAATTGTAGTACCAACCCTACACACATTCCAAAAAATGAAGGCAGTTTCATCAGATTAATCCATTATGAAAAGCCAGACAAAGAAAAAAATACCCATATATATTCCATACATGATAAAATATTGTCTTATGCCAAGCCAGGGGCTTGAGGGGAATCTCCAGGTGACTGCAGAGTCACTGTTCTTGTCATTCTCTGTGTTGGCTGTGCATTGTCTCTTTTATCATTTGTTTTTCACTGTTTCAAAGTTTGTTTTCCTTATTTTTTCTGACATTTTACTGCATTGTTATCATCAGTTTTTATGGATTGTGTAAACTGCCCAGAGTGGGATGATACTGAAAAGAAATCATAATAGTAATTATCATCATCTTCATCTTGGGCATAATTGTGCATAGACTTCAACAAAAACAGACCATATATTTGTCCATTTGCAAATTACACCTGGAGACCACCCATTTAAAAATTGAAAGTCTTCCACCCATTGTATTACCCCTCCAGTATTGTAGTATTAGCCTTTTAGTCATCAAAATAGTACAGAGAATCCATTCACACTGACCCGGCACTAAGTCGGAAGAAGCAGGTAAGTAATTGAGAAGAGCATGCACATCCAATGCTCATTAAAGAACTTTTTTTGTTCAGTAAGTTCATCCATAGTATTATCTCCTCCCCAGATGAGCCAGCCATTGGGCATTGCCAAAACCTATGGGTGAGATAAACATTGGCTTCTTTGAAACACACTGTTTTTCTGAATTATGTGCCCAGAGAGCCACTAACCCTTCTGAAGTAGATGCCAATGCAGCACTCCAATGATGGGGTAAGACAGGACAATCCGATTTGTCATTCCATCCTAGCTTAGACCCTGTGCTCAGAGGCAGAAATGACAGCAAAGGATTTAAGCCTGGGGTCGTTGTCAGGCACAGCTACCCCTGGGATGCTCTGCCTAAGAGACACAATCAGCTTCCTCCGCTTTAACACCACAAGGACCTATCCACAGACAACAGTTCAATGACTGGATTGCCAAGATGGCTTCTGCAGGAACCCTTTTGTCATGTGGCCTGTTGCCACTTTTCCATCTCAGTTACTCAAATATTGAATGAGGAAGCTACAGCTGTGTGGTTGCAGCTGCCACAACAACACGGGAAGAACTTCCTTCACAGAGGTTCCCATGCAGAGTGATGCCTGTACAATGACTGCAAACAGCTTGGCTCCAGCTTGGATTCTAAGAGCAGAAGGATGGGGGGAAGGAAGCACCATCTCTAAAGGAATGGGAAATGATATCTGATGTAGGGTACTGAGACATAAGCTCTCATACCGGACATAAAAAGGCACCTCTAGATAAACGGGACAAATTTATTTTGTGTTAGAGAGGGAAAAACCACCAGTTGGTACAGAAGAAAAGAGGAGTTAGAAATTGTGCAACAGCTGTAACTGTTTGCATCATCACATTCCATTTATTTAATGTCTACACTGCCCTGGAACCGGAGCCTTCTGGGTGGTTTACAATGGCACATAAAAATAAGTATAAAAGACAAACAGAATTGAAAACATCATTAATTTATGTGGTTTTAATTTATTGTTGTAAGCCGCCCCGAGGCTTCAGCGAATGGGGCGGCATAAAAATGTTTTAATAAATAAAATAAATTAATAAATTAAAAGGCCACCATACAAAAATGTAAAACCAAATTTAAAACACATATAAAAATTACAGTAGCTTAAACACAGTAAATCTTAAGACCTGTTTAAACAGCTAACAAATCCCCAGGAAACTAATGAGATGCCCTGCAGGAGATATTAAGGTTGGTGCCTTGTGGGCCTCAGTAGGGAACTTGTTCCATAACCAGGAGGAAACCACTGAAAAGGCCCTTCTGCTTGGGGGTGGCAAGCATAGGCAGACCCAATTCCAAGTTTGACTGAAAAAAGTAAGAGAATTATTGTATTGAGAAAGCATACTTATTAATAGAATTTCAAAATTTTAGACCTTTTTAGAAATATTTTGGATTTTTCACTTTTGTTTCAAATTATATCTATGGGCTTATGGCACTTTTCAGGCATGTGCACATAGTAGGCATGTCATGAGTGAAGCTGGCTGGAGCTGGGGGTCAGACTAGATGGCCTGGGGGAACACCCTTCTGACTTGCTCTGTTTCTGTTTTTCTAATAAAGGAAGTCCGCATGTTCAGCTGTACATCACTGAGTGTTATGTAAGCTTGTGAAAAGAAACCCAAATTTTGGAGGAGGCTCACAAATTATCTATTCTACCCTGTCTTTTTTGCCAGAATGATGACAGAATAAAAATATTGGGACTTCAGTGCATTTCATCAACAAAGGAGCTTTCCCAGGTTTCCAAAGTTTGTTTTAATTAATATCTAGGGTACCAAAGCTCTTCAGATCATTCCCTTTAGAATACTGTTTAAATTATCTTCTCTTGCTGATTTTCAGTTTAATTTCAGTGGGAGTGGCTCTAAGCTCTCCTTTGTTTAAGGTGGTGAAGGGTTATTTTTAAAACACAGAGCCTATACTTAACTAGGTCAAACTGATTCCTGGTGAAACTCAGAAATGTCACAAAAGAAAGAAAAGGGGCATATAAAAACATAGAAACATGCTTTGTATAATTGTACCTATTGACTCCCTGCTCTTGGATGCACACCTTAATGTGGTAAAGAGGTTTGAGAATGTCAGGCAAGCCAAGAGCAATGCCACCAGGGAGCCAGACTGGTCTTCTAGTGTCACCAAGGTAGAATGGTCACAGCTGAGACACCGGACTAATGTGCCTCCACTGTCTTCTGGAGTAACGGTCACATCAGCAGAAGAGAATGGAGCTCTGTGATGGTGATGGGACTGGAGAAACTCATGAAGGGCACCTACTGAACAACAACGGTAGTCGAAGGCAACACTGGTGGAAGATCTTTCACAGACAATGGCAGAAATGCTCAAGCTAACTCTGGTTTTAGTACTGCTCAGAAGAAGGCAATAGCAAACCACTTCGGAATATTTCTTACTTGCCTCATTCAAAATGAAACAAGAGATAGTTCCAGAAGATGGGACTCCCAGGCCAGAAGGTGTTCAACCAGATACTGCGGGGGGAAAGGACAAGTACAAATAATGCTGCTGCTAATGGGACAACTAGATCCAATCTGAAAGGAAGCCTAGTGGCTGACATTCACAGAGATGAAACAAACATCTGATGCCGTGCAACACAAACAGTTGGAATGTGCAACATAAGAGGTATGAACCAATGCAAACTGGAAACCGTAAAACCAGAAATGAAGTGGTGAAGCACCACAGTTCTTGGTGTTAGTGAACTAAAGTGGACTGTAATGGAACATTTTCGGTTGTGCAGATACAATGTTTTGCTCTGGAAAGGTCTAACGCAGAAGAAACAGAATGGCTCTAATACTGAGGCAAGATGTGGCAGAGGAGGAAAGGGACTATAATGCAAAGTCTGACCAAATTATATCACTCAGAATTTGTGGAAAACCTAGCAATATAACCATCATTCAGATCTACCCTCTGACAATAGAGGCTGAAGAAGAGACCAAAACTTTCATGCAAGTGTCAAGGGGAAATGAGAACATAACAAAACATGACATGTTGATAATCATAGTAGCTGGAACACAAAAGTAGGAAGCCAATGTGAGAAGCAAAAGTGAAAGGTAATAGAAATCGTGTCAGAATCCTGAACTTTCAGCAACTATCATGGAGAGACAAAAAGAAGTATTACAATGGGCAGTGCAAAGAAATAGAACAAAAGGTAAAAGAAGAAACCACTTTCAGAAGATGCAAGAAGTCAAAGAAAAAAATCAAACCAAGATTAGGAATGCTGAAAGACCAACTTACTATCTGACTAAGAGGAAATAAAGAACAGGTGGAAAAATATATAGAAATACTATTCATGTTCTTTTCAGACAATCATGCTAGGGAAAGTTGAAGGCAGCAGCAGAAGACAAAATGTAAGACGGACTGATTTCACAAAGCCAGCCACAATCTTGAGTTTACAAGAGCAGAGCAGTGCTATGAAGGATAGGATGTTCTGCAAGGCATTCATGTGATGGCACAGAACTGCCAACCTACAGACCAAGTGTGTTTGTGTGTATTTCAGGAATGCATGCACTTTTCTTGGTACACTGTCAAAATGTGTGCACATCGTCAAACACATTTTGGTTTGCTTTGCATTGCAATCTTGCAAATGCATGGCTTTCCCACTGCAAATTGTGCTTGAGTGTAAGCCAATGAGTTCTTCACCATTCCTACTTATGGGCCTTCTGGAGATATAATCTTCTTGGCCACAATGAGAACTATCATGGTGGACTAGACGGGTTTTTTGTTTGGTCCAGCAGGGCTCTTATATTTATTATGTTGTACCTGATTTTGATTTGAAAATAGGCACTGTGATTTGGGAATGGCATTCCTTTTAGAAAAAGCCTTTATTTTAGAACATATGCAGATGCTTTATGATTTTCTCCCTCTTCCCCACCCTAATCCTACTTTACACTGAAGTTTTGGTGTTGTTTATGTTTTAGATAAGAGAATGACTTTGATTATTATTAATAAAGCACATTTTGAAAACAGGCTTTAAAAATGAGCTCATTAGAGGAGTGCTCATTAGATCCTGTTGACATTAAACCCATTAGACCAATTAACATTCCATTAAAATG